TTTATTTGCTCGAGCAAATGACCATAAGCCAGCAAAGAGGCAAAATGGCCCCCACTAAAGGGTGGGGTGTTCTTTTATACTTTTTACAACAAGGCAAGACTACAGGGTTAACAAAAAGGCAATACTTGGGGCAGCGCTTCACAAATCTTCATAACAGCATATTTCTGTTAAGCTGAACTAGCACTTTTTAAAAGCTGAAGTTAAACAGCGGTAACATTATGATACGTTAGCAAAAACTTGCACAGTAATAGATATTTCTTAAGGACATGATCACTGTACTTAGAACAATGGCTTCTTTGTCTTATGTGAACTATTTTATGTCAGGGGAATAGCTTCCTTGCCCATCACATTTATAAATTGAAACAAACGATACACTTATTTTGCATAAATGGCTCTGCATAGCCTGCACCCTTGTATAGCCTGCACCCATCCATCATGTTCATAAAAACTTATATAACCCATGGACTATATGTGAGAAAATACCTTCAGACTGTATGCGAGAAATACAAAACAATTTTGTTGCCCTATATGCTGATGGAGAACAAATCCCTGAGAAGCCACTACAACCAGATTTTCAAAATGGTAACTGTCTCAGAGAATCTGATGCAAACTGTTTAGTAAGCATATGAAAAACCGTTCTCTATTGATCAACTGTAAGGAGTTTGTCTGGGGGTACTGTGCTGACTATTATTCCCAGATTAAACTGTAAATCTGAGGACTTTGCTTGTGCTTTGCCCCCCACTGTCAACATGATCATGTATGGGGTCTTTGACAACATTACAGAGGTAAATCAGTGGAGAAATGTCCTGTTCAACTACACGTGAAGATGGACAGTGAACAGGTCTTCTGGGTTTTATCCACAGACCTTCACACCAAAGAGATGTTCTTAGATGTGTTCCCCTGTGACTGGTTCCCTATGGCTTGGCTGTCTCAAAGACCCCTGAGCCTAGTAGTCAACATGCACCCACATACTCAGCCTGGAGAATACTGGCTGGCAATTTACCTGGTGGATTGGGACCACGGGCAGTTTTTTTATTCATATGGTGACCCCCCCCAAACAATGCTTTGTTTCCTCAAAGTATTATATTTTTTTAAATGTTACCCACAATACTTTTCAGATGAAACAATTATAAGACCCTAGCTCTTTTTCCTGTGGATACTACTATGTGTTTTTCCTACACCATCATTTGAATGCATTTTAAAATTGTATTCTGATGATTTAGTACAAAATGACCACATGGTGATGCAGCTTGTAAAAAGTAAATACAAATCTTTCCACATGGCTGGACCTGCTCAAAACATGTTTCAACATGCCCAGACATGCATCTCTTGCAAGGACTTCCACAAAAGTGTTATCTAAATTTTAAAAAACCCCACTGTTGGGATTAAAAAAAAAAAAAGATAAATGGGTGTGTTTTCTTTTATCCCATACCACATTTAAAAAAAACACTCTGCAGACAAGATTTTGAAGCAGTATAGAATAGTCTATTACAAATGTAAAACTTTACATGCTGATCCACTTGCTTTTAGAGACAATCTTTTGCTTCTTTGGCAGTGAGGTTAGTGTTTCTTGGGTTGCTGCAGAGGTTTTCGGGTATTCCAGATGATCCCAATTTGCGGCATTGCCCATAAGAGAAGATGATATGTTCAGCTCGGCCATGGCTTTAATAAAGATATCCCAACCTTTAGGTGGATGTTTAGTAGAAGCAGTGTGAATCTGAAGTCAAGAATGTTAGAACCCTTGATGAGCATTTCTTTGTATACAAAACCCCTTTGATCATCCTAAAAAGAAATATGCTTGTGTTGACTCAATTTGCTGAGCAAGACTTTAGCATTTTTCCTGTATCAGGCAGACACATTATCCAACACTTCCTGAACAGTGGGGTCAGGATTCGTTGGTGTTTCTAAGGGTTTTGCCATTTCTATGGGGTTCTGTTGTGGCATAAACAGAGTTAATTTCCCTCTGTCCAGGTCACCCTGCTTCACATGCATCAGGTATTTTTGAAGCGCAACAGCATACAGTTTAGCTTTATCATATTAGGATAAAACCTGCTTTCGGAGAATGTCCCTCATTTCAGCACCCAATAAGTGGGTCGCCTCAGTTCAGATATTTTCCTGAAATGGTGGATGAGCCCTTAATTGCTCTAGCTGGTGACTGGGGACCAGGTACATTTTTTCTGTGTATTCCATCACTGCTTAGTCAAAAGTCCTGTGATCAGAAAAATAGCAAAACTTAACAGAGGTCTGATAAATCCCCCAGACTGTTTCACCAGCTGGTCTTTGTCCCTCAAAAAAAAAAAAGTCTTGTTATTTAGGCATTGTATGATTCTGTGTCTCTTTTTTAGTACCTGGATTTGGTGGGGTGTCAAAGGGATGTTTTCTTTTCAGGTGTTCAGAGAAATTTCTGAAATGGCCGCTACTAAATCCTCAGAGGCTGAGCACAGTATAGCTTTCCTCTGCTGGGGGGAGGACAGACTAAGCAGTTTTAAGAGAACCAAATTTGTCTTCACTCAGTTTAGACATGTTTCCCTTGTGCAGGCCCAGGAGCTAAAAAAGAGCCTGCTGCTACATTATCTCTTTTTATGTCCACCCACTGCTTTTTTCAAAGCGTAAACTGCTGGCTGGTCAGGAGGAAAAAGCCCGGTTTTTAATCTAAAAGTCTCTCGGGTTGAAGTGTTTAAGTCTATCACCAGGTATCTGTAAGGTTTTTTACTGGTATCCTCAAAAGCTTCTAGAAAGAACCGGGTACATCTGCCTTGCCAGGGATACCACCTGTAGCTTATCCCTGGAGTTTTCAAACAGAACTATGTATTTTGTGTTGAGGGTAATGGTGTGACTTTTTCCACTGACAGAAAACATTCTGAACTATATATATGATGCTAGGATTCCTGTGATGTATGTACTTGTTAAAGGCTTTCTCTTTTTCACCACTCTCACAAGCAGTCCATCAAATCATCCACCCCAACCATTTTTACTTTATTTGGAGGGAACAAGCGGTTGTCATTAAGATTCCAACATGTTTGATAAAAGGATATTTACAAAGAAGTTCTTTATAGAAAGGTTGCCGACAGCTATAGCACCACGTGATATTTTCAGGCATAACAGTCAACAAGCTATCAGCATTATCCAGAAAGTTTTTTATTTGCTCCATAATCAAGAACGAAATCTCTCAAGCTCTCAATGTTGACTTTTTCACAGTTGGCCACATTCAGGGTAATCCCTTTGACCTTTAACCAGCCCTTTCCTCCTTACAGTTTATACACGTAGGTTTTTGGGCCTGCAGACACAAACTCTGTGATGTGTTCATCTGGAGAGATGTCACTTGTGAGCTCCCCTAAATAATTACCTAGTAGAGGGTTCCAGTCTCCCTTGCAGCTCACAAATATCACAAAGTCTGTGTCATGGTGTAGGCACCACTCTTGCAAGCTGTCTAACAGCTCGTATGGCTCTAAGCATGCATACACTGTGCTGAAACAGGCTATAAACATATTAGTGTTGCCTGAGAGCATGTAACATTCCTGGGCGTGGTTCCAAGACATGCAGGCTGTCCCATCATCGATAAAGTCACAGGAGGAAATGTCATAAGTGTGGGAAGAGAGAGCCTCTCTGTAATGGCTATCTACTCAGTTAAAGGTCTCTCACGATGCTGGTGTTGGGAAGGTTTGATCTCTGGCTGAATCTACCCCAAAAACAATTTTGTGATTTGATGCTTTGCAGGTTTGCACTTCCTATGCTCTGGGCGTAAAGACATGCCTTCTTTTTGGAAGGAATTGGCCACATATTGGTTTTGATTTTCTTTGTCAGTACACCAGGTGGGATACCCCAAGGCTTCCTGTTTCTGTTGAGGTGGAGTTCTATGTACTTTTCAAAAAGTGTGTTAGTTATCTCAGGAAAACGCTAGACTTCATAGATTTTAATTACTTTGTACCCCTTTGTGATACCTTTTTTTCCAATTCTGGTGTGCACCAAGTGCCCAGGAGAGCCCTTTCCTTGTCAGTGTGGGTGCACTTTGACCGACTTGTTTCTGCACACGTGCAACACAGTGGGAACATAAGTTTCCCATTCACCCTTACAGGTAACACAGGGAA